CCAAGTATCTTCAATTTACCCAATGAAATATTATTTATTATTATCAAGAAATTGAATATTGCTGATGTTATTCATTCACTTGTCGATGTTAATGAACGATTTGTTCAATTACTATTTGATCCTCTGTATATTCAAAATCTTAATATTACACTTATGACTATCAAGTCATTTTATCAACGTACTTTTTCAATACATGAACAAGTTCTTTCAAATATATATGAAAACATCTTACCCAATATTCATCATCAAGTTAAACAACTTGCTATTGAACAACATTCAATAGAACGTATTCTCACTCACAATTATTCTCAACTTTATTCATTGTCACTTGTTAATTTTAAAGAAGAAGTACTCTATCAATATCTAAGAGGTAGATTTTATTTTTAATATTTTCATTAATGAAATCAATTTTTATTTCAAGATTATTCAGCTCTTCGTAATCTTCTTACACATCAAATCACACATCTAAATGTTGATATTCAGAGTGACGAAATACAAACATTATTATCTAAAATTTCATCAAATATATTTACATTGATTTTGTCTCTATGTCAACGATTAATCAAGTTGAATTTTTCTCAAGTATTTTCTTATCGAAATTCGTTTATTCCGATTTGTAAATTACCAGAAACATGTCTTACATATTCAACTTTGATCGAATTAAAAATAAATGTTGCAACGTTTAATGATTGTCTTTGTCTTCTTAATAGACGTTTCGATTGCTTATCAAAATTAACTATCAATGTAGGAGATATCAAATATGAACGAAAACAAATAAACAACAAGATAAATCTGAAATATTGCTTGGAAGTAAAAGATTAAATTAGTTAAATGATTTTCTTTCTAGACAAAATTTCCCAAGTTGAAATACTTCTCATTAGCTTCATTTGATATAATACATGATTATGATAAATACATTATTCCATTACTTCATCGAATGATAAATCTTGAAGAATTAGTATTATTTCTAACAGTAATAAGAACTGATTCAACTTTTATTGATGGTACTGAATTATATGATCAAGTACTTGTCCATATGTCACACCTAAACAAATTTATTTTCAGTATAAATACAGGTGTTTTTATTGAAAA